TGTTACAGATTGGAATGTCAATATTGTTCTTCATTGCTTTAAATTCCCTCCGTTTGAACCTTTATCCTTATGTTCCCTGTTTCACCTATCCCTTAATATTTATTTCCTACTCTTTTAAGCCTGCGGACATTGTCGGTCTGATATCTTTGCCATTGACGTTTCATGTACTCTGTTCCATTCCACATATGTTCTATTATATCTAGATCAATCTTTCCTACCCAAAACTTTGGCGACTCGTGAGGGACATTCTTTCTTCTCACCAATTTCCCTCCATTTCCTACGTATATTCCCAGTCTGATTCCTGGATAGGCTTTTATGTCCCATTCCCTGTCAACTTTCTTCTGTACATGACCCTTCTCCATCTACCCTTACAGGTTGAGTTTGTTGACTTATTAGACTGTTGTATTCCTCCCTGTCTCCTTCATCCTGCACTCTGTTCCAAGTGTTGCCGCATCAGACCAGGCACCTTACCTTTTCCTTGGCATCTCACCTCTGTATTTCATTGGAAGAAGTTCTTCAGTTGGGCATGTGGACTACACCTCATATGTTCACCTTCCACTAACTGCATTGGGTGGCTGTTTCTTCCTTATCAGAGTATTGCCTTATGCGTTTTGCCATTCTCCAGACATCGGTTTGGCTGGGACTTGTTAAGTTATCTTTTCTATATTTAGTTTTCCATCCAGTAGCATGTCCTTTTTAGGTCTAGGGATCCTGCTCAGTGGTGAGCATTGCCTGTCCAGGTATACTACCTATCTCTCAAATTCTACACTGTACAGCCATCTGTAAGTCATACTGGGGTATATTATCTCCCACTCAGTGACTCTGTTGTTCCACTTCTTTATGGTGGGTCCCAGGGGTTGATGTTGCAAGGTCCTCAGTCGGATCACTTTGTGGGCTATGGTTACACAGGTCGATCTGTTGGTGATACCTGCAATCTTACCACTGTGTGGTCCGATCTGGGTTTGATGTTGCACAGGCTACTCCTGGCTACTTCTGTTGCTCCATCCACCTCTATGGGTTTGGGCCCTAGTGTAGTATGTTGTTGCGCAGGGTAGCTTAGCGAGGGTTGTGTGGGATAGGGGTGGAATGGGCCAGTGGGGTGATAACCTGGTTATACTGTCCCAGTGCTACTGACTAACCTACTGTACATCTATATATATATCATCCTGATTTTTGAGTATTTGCCCAGGCTGTTTTAGGCTCCCAATCAGCAGTCCCACCAAACTTTTCTTTGGGCAGTGGCTAATTCAAACAATCTTGATGTATACCCATGGCCAGTAATGTAGACTGTTGAGATGGGATGTTCCACAAGATCACTAGTGGGTTTTCCTATTTGCTTCATTAATATGCCCATTCCAGACCATACTAACACATGGACTTACATGGGTAAAGCAGAAGAGGATAGCTGAACCATCCCTGCCATCCCTTCTATTGAATATATCAGGAGCAATCTGCTTTTTAAAATAGGGATTTCGTGGTCACCCCTTGCACTGTCTCTGATGCTGGCATTCCTCGGATTCACCACTGCATTTTGTTCCCCCCTTGTTCTTCTAGTGAAGTATGAGAGTCCTTATCACTTTCCATTTCTGAGCTGGTGGACCATGGAGGGGTCTTCCTAAGTGTGATCTTTTCACTTCAGTAGAGAGTAGAGTGATGGCATTTATCCAGTGTAGGTGGTGTTTGATCCTCATATTATGTACTTCACCTTAGTGTAGTGGGTCCTGGAAGTTGATGTTGCACCCAGCTGCTGTGCAGTTCTATCTGGAGGGTGAGTGGGGAAGTGGATTACCTCTGTTGTGCTCTAGCTTTTGTGTGGTCCTATCTAGGGATGATGTGCATATTTCACAAATGTACCCCACCTTTGTTTGGTAGGACCTGGAGGTTGATTTTGTGCCCAGCTTCTGTGCGGTTCTGTCTGAAAGAGGGTGTAAGATACAATATTGGAAGTTATTTTCCTACACTGAAAATATATTTCCAATAGGTACTTACTTCCTTATAAACTTCTCGCCCTTTCTCCTCACTTAAAACCAGTGATTTCTTTCTGCCTTATCTCGAAGTGATAGTTTGGTGGAATCGAATAGAGGGAGTTGCATGCATCAGGAGGGTGTGTCAAAATCCTATTGTGGGAGGGTTGGTGCATGATGATTTACATATGAAGACGCTGTGAACCATGTTTATTGTGGGGTAAGTGGGAGTTCAAGGCTTGTGACATGCAAAATTTTTTATGCATATAGAGGGTAGCACTGAATGAAAATAGCTATACATGTGAAAGGAGATAAGTATCTATCAGAAATATATTTTCAGTGTAGGAAAATAATAATTTAAGCAATTTGGGGTATGTTATCTATGTGATACAATCCAGTAGATCTTGCCAATGACCTAGCTGCAAGTACAAGTATGTATGTTACCTCCAGAACATGTTGACATGAAATAGCCTTGTTGGATGTGTAGCTGCACAAATACCACTGTTTAGGAAATGTAAATAAAACAGATAACCCATTGTGTACTTAACAACAAAACAAACTTCTTACAGTATAAAATCAAGAAGTGCTGTTCTGTTTAAAGCAAATACAAAATACTAGTACATTTTTATAGCTTATTTGCTTTTATTTTGTATCCTATGTAACAAAGTATGATACTAATAAATAAACCATTCTGTTGCAATTACTCATTGTTTATGATTCTTGTATGTTTATCACTTATGAATTTCTATCATTATTCCCAATACTGGAGATAAATAGTTATTTTCATATACATTGAAAAATTAAAAAATGTATTAAAACATACATCCTCAAATAAAAATTTTGTGATTTTTGTTCTTCACATGTTTGTTAGATTGGTATTAACTTCTGATTATAGCAAGCTACCTACATAGATCAAAATAAAACATGTATAGTAATGAGCATAGATAATTAAAGCTAATGCTCAAACTGTATTACATATAATAATTAGAATGCACTGTTTTGTCAGTTGGGTACCCTTGCTCTTAATAAATTTTCATGCATAAACCTAATATCTCATTTTGGCTAGTCCAGGATGCTAAGATCAGTCCTTAATCCATATACTAAACTAACAATACAGAATAATCATTATAATAAAATTGTTGAGGAGAATCCTCATTTAAAAATAAAACATTTTATCATCTATTTTCCATGAAATCTTCTAATTTTGAAGAAATTATGATGTATCTAATGAGCTGTAAATACTAGACGTTGTAACATAGCTTTTGTTCAAATATTTATATTTGGAAGTTGAATGTTTGTAACTTCAAAATTAAAAAAAATAAAAACTAATTCAATTTGAACTTAAGTGTTTGGTTAAGGATGATGATATCCAAATATTGTTCTTTGTTATAAGCAAAAGAGCATTTCTTCCAGAATAAGTTCTGGTGGAAACCTTTGTTTGCCAATTTCAAGAAAACCTTGACAATTAAATAGAAGGATATCATGTGTATATCCACAAACGTGACCAATGTACAAAACTTTATTATAGTCTTCTTTTTTACTAAGGTTTATAATGTAGGAAAATTAAAGTTTGAATAAATATAAATCTACAACTTGCAGGCTGAAGTTACCACTCATACCAACCTTTTGAATTTGTTGGAATATGTATTGGCTGAGCTATACAATAGTGTTGTTAAGTGAAAAAAAAATAGTAATTTTTGTAAGTAACATTATCATAAAAACGTGAGTTTTTACTAACACAGAGTAATAATTTACCAGAGTTGTTAAACAGTCATGAAATTGTAGATGAAAGACATTAATTTTATCAATAGATTGTTTGTTTGATAATATTACAGTATTGCTTTAAATGGTCTGTATTTCAAACCATTACCTTCTAGAATTGACAACTTTTTAGTTGTTGATGTTTTTCCATTTCCCAAATATTTTGCTATGGAATCTGTTCCATTCCATGATCCCAATCATATGATATTTTCATTACTCACATTAATAAAATAAGCACAAGCTGTTGAACTGGCCTGTCATGACCTGGTGGTTAGGGCACTTAACTCTCAATCTGTGAGTCATAGATTCAAATCCCTGTCATCAAACATGCTCACCCTTTTAATCATGGAGGTATTATAATGTGGCAGTCAATCCTACTATTCATTGGTAAAAAAGTAGCCTAAGAGTTGGTGGTGAGTGTTGTTGACTAGTTACCTTCCCTCTAGTCTATCACTGCTAAATTTGGGATGGTTAGAGCAGATAGCCCTCAAGTAATTTTGTGTAAAATTTAAAAAAAAAAGTTGTTGAACTATGTAAACATCAGTGACAACATCACACTTGTTTTTACATCAGAGTAATTCATAACAGTATTTAGTTGTTGTTTAGCTGAACTGTTGAATATCAAATATAATATTCATACTCGTGGCAAAAAAAAGTTGTATACTATCTTGGAAGAGGTAAATAAAGTTATTTCCTGTGATAATTTCTTAAATCTTTCCAATGGACTATAACACAATTACACCTACTAATATTTTATTTTTGTCAAAATCTATTAACTGTCATCTCTGTGACAGCAAGAATGTGGTGGAGCAAACCTTCTTTTTTTTTAATTCTCGATCTTCAACCAAATAAAATAAATTTAAAGCTCGAAATATGTTTCCCTTTTTACTATTCTTAACTTTTTTAAACAACCTGAGCTTTTCAGTTGAGATGTGGTATTTGATACTCTAACTTGTATATCTAGAAATCTATTTTGAATTGCAAAGAACTATTCATAATTACTGTAATTTCTGCTTGTGTTTGACGCAAGTCAGTTTATATACATTTTTTAAGTATTTGGGTTTTTCTTTTTTAATTGGCCCATCTAATAAACATGAAAGCTTTCTAAACCATCTGTCAATATTATGTTATGACATATTCTTACTTGTCTCAACCCACAATACACACACACAAACAAAACGTTTTCATTTTTAGGAGCAGGGTCATGTAAAATGTCATTATCTAAAAATATATTGTGAGGTAAAAATTGCTTACTTTTTTTATATGTATACATAGGCTGAGAGTCGTGCAGATATTGCAGAACGTTCTGTACAGAAACTGCAGAAAGAAGTGGAAAATCTTGAAGGTGAATACCTTTTATCTGAAACTAAATAATATTTATGGGTCATGGTTTTTTCTGGTAGTAATAGAAATAACATTCAAAATTATTTTGAAAACATCCTGGTCACTACGTATCACAAGATATTACCAAAGGCATCAGCCCCCAACAAAAAATTGTTCATTACTGATATTGATACACCAGTATACGTACATGCATTGTTGAGGTTATGTACAGCTATATGCATATAAAAGTTGCATGTTTTTATGTGAAGTGACAGGTTATAAAGTAGAAGCAGGCATCATAGTGTAGCCAAGAATCTCATTCCATATGTATGTATGATAACTGTACCTAAATATAGAGCATGTGCACACAATTTTCACTGTGAAAGTGCTATATAAGATGCATGTAAACAACTATCTTCATCAGTGATTGATTACAAAGTGATTCCACAAATTGTCTTGAACAAAATCTAGCTAGACTGATTTCATTTGTTCAGACTCAACCAACACCATCACCTAGCCACTGAATTGTTGTTTTGGTATGATGCTATGGAGCTTACTTTTGTCAAGTTTCAGTGCAAAAAATTAGTGCTCACAAGGATGAAGATATAACTGGCGATTAGAAATAGTCAACCAGTAATGAGAACTTGAATTTCAATATCTCTGTGAACCTGTTATTTAACATATGAAAGTAAATGTGCTGCATTCCTTTCAGTTTGAGAGACTGAATGACTTTTGCAACTGATTGAATTTCTAGCACATGAGGTTTGCAACATAGAGATTTTCTCTATATTTAGAAACATTAAACAATCATGAACATGAAGAATGGCAACATGTTTCAGAAAATTTAATTCTTTGAGCATTCAGCATCAAATACGGTACTATATAAAAAAAATGAGGGGGAACTTGGTAATTCAATGTGCAGTTCTGAGTAAGTAATATCAGTATTGTTTGCTATTCAATCAACCATTGGAAAATGCTTGTCAAGAGCTTCCTCATTTCTCGTGTCATCAAGTCCTAATAACAGTTGAACTTGAAGTGAGTTAAAAACAAATTGGGTGGGAGTAGGGGGTTCGGTGGGCTTGAATCTCCTATTGCCTTATGCCAATGTATATTACAGCACTCAAAATAGGCCTTAGTTATTAAATCAAGCAGAAATGAAGTATTCAATATTTGTAAATGCTACTTTCACAAATTTTCTAATTTGTGATATATTTAATTCACAACTAAAGATGTACAAACGGGGAAAAAAAATTATAATTAGGTAAATGGTTTCATTTGTTTTCTGGATTAAATTACATATTTCCAGACTTCATGAAAACTTCACCAAAAAATGAATGGCCAAATACAACAGTTTAAAGTTGTATAATTTGTAATTAAAGTACTGAAAAAATAATTATTTTTAATCTTATACTAGTTTTTACCTCATAAGAAAAAAATTAAAGTAATGTAACCTAAAAGTTTTCTTTACTTAAATTTTAGGGAAGTTGCTGATATTGTATAAATTGTGGTCATTCAAATGTGTACATACACTTTAAGAATTTTAGTCTGTGTGTGTAATCTTGTGTTCCAGAAACGGTGGAAACAGAACGAGTGCAGAACCAGTCTCTACAGCAAGAAGTGGAGAGTACTCTGAAAGAAATTTCCTCCATGTGATATGGTATAATACCTGCAACATGGTGAAAGGTTGGCCTGTGTGATTCCTAACTACATGTTTTCTTGGTTTTAGTTTTGTTTCATTAAGGGTTTATGTATTTTATTAGCGATTGTTGTATGAAGCTATTCTGTTTGGTTAAGTATGAGTGTCCTCAAGTTATATTAATTTATCATAATTACAGTTTTTGAAGTAAGAAATTCATGATAATTGTGCAATGAAACTCCACTACATGTTTATAACTTTGATTAGAAATAAAAATGTATTTGACTTAACCAAATGGTTTATGAATAATTTTAATTATACAGTTAAAGTTTTTGTTTTCAAGTATTTTAAAGCCTGGGTTACTTCATAAGTCAGTGGACTTAATATCTTACAGCTCTTTGCTGTTTGAAAACATTAACTTACACTCAAACTCAGTCCTAATTCAGACATTTAGAATATTCAAAGGTTTGAAAAAGATTAATTTGTTGCATTTGTCTCAATATTGGATTTCTTCCCTCGATGTGTGGTATTGTGTAAATTTAACTGAGTTTAAGAGAAAGCTTGATAACTATATGAATGATAAGGGCTGGCTTTAAGTGTTGTTTTTTTAATTTAATTATTAATAGTTTTAGTGTAGTTTAGAGGATGGGACAGTTGAGATGGACCAAGGCATTATGTTATGTTGAAAGTATGATATTACTTAAGGTAGATTATGATCTGTGAAAAATGGCATGCATTGACATTGTGAATACACTCATTTTTTTACATTTATACTAAATGTCCACATATATAAATAAACTATCAATGTTATTCACCTGTTAACATTTATCCATGAACTTTTCAAAATTGCACTAAATAGAACTGGAATGGTTTTTTTTTAACTTTGTTTTTTTGAGAAGTCATTAAACTTAAACAATAAAAATAACTAGCAAAATTTAATAATGTCTTTGACTCTAAGATGTATTTCCAAAAGCTGATTTCACATCTTTTTTTGTTTCTAGTAAAGATATATTCGTCTTCCTCTTGTTGAGATTGAGTAATAACTAAAGTACTAAAATTACATACCTTTTCTTTCTGTTACTAAAAACTTTTGTAATGCTCCTAATAACACACATAGGCATGTTTAATGAATTAAAAATACAACAGTGTATTATTGTAATCAGCATATTTAGTTGTTGTAGAGCTGAACACCTTAAAGTAATCCATCTTCAGCTGTTACCTAAATTAAATATTTAAGGTTCAAAACATGTTATAGATTAGCTGAAAAGTAACTGTCATTTATCAGTTTTAGAACTTCAGTTATTGTGAAGATTTGTCAGATATAATTGATAGGCTGTGTGAGGAACACTGGTTATTTTTAGTAATACTGTAATAACAGTTGATGAGGTTGTAAAATCCAGTTAACTTTTTAACATGTACAAATCAAGTAATTTTTAATATTGACTTTTTTCTATTTTCCTTAAATTCATTAAGTTTTTTGTGCTTTTTTTTCAAACTTAACTCCAAAAATAAACTTAAAAGCATGAAATTTAAACGTTATGTAAAGTACAGTGAAATATATAAAAGGTATTTTTATTTAAGAAATTACAATTTTCTTAAATCACACAAGCATTTTATATTCAATTGAATCATTACATGAATAATAAAGTATTTTTTTCTATTCTTTCTTATCTCTACATTTTTATATAAAATTATTTAATGAGATCTTTGTGTGATTTTTTTATGTAGTGGCAATGTTGGTTATTTGCAGTAATTGTTTGATTCTTCTTCTTTTCAAATTTTCAAAGATGAGCTGGTTCATGAGAAGTAAAAGAACATTTTCAACAAGGTGGACCAGACATTTGTAGAACTCACTGGTTATTGAAGGCTTATCTTTATATTTATATGTTTTAAATTCCCAGTGTTTGTTCTATATAATTTTTGCATACATATTGTATAAAAATTTAAAAGAATTATGCCAGTGAATTTATCTGTATTTCACTTGTTTTTCTCAGTCTATGACCACAGGTTAGGTTTTATGTACAATTGGCAACAGTGACATAAAAATTTGGGCTTAAAATCAGTACAGTGGGTCCCCGTTATATCTTGCATCACTCTGTGTTGTTTCATTATTAGAGCATTCACCAATTACTACCCATGTATCAAACAATGTTGCCTTGTTTCGTTACTAGAGTGTTCTAACATTGTCAAGTACTTTTCCGGGTGTAGTGCTTACCAATTACTACCAATATTTTTGAAACAATGTCACCTTGTTTCATTACTAGAGTATTAACCTTTTCTGCCCAGACATTCTTTATTGTGCATGTCATAAGGGTTTTAGTGATTTACATTCAAAATTGAATTAAACTACTTTTTGTTTATTTTATACCTATTAGCATAGCATAAAATCATAGCTAATAATCCATATTTTAACAGTATATAAGTTTTAAGTTCTTACTTTTATAATACAATATTTAAAAAAAATCCAGATTTTCCCTTAGTGTGAGAAATGTGGCATTTTTTTCTCTAGGCATCCCCCTCTCCTCTAATGTATTCACCACCCCTCCAATAAATATGAAATTTAACATAAATTACTCAATATAATATCATAATCACTCTAACAAACCAAATTTTATTAGCCTTCAATTTGTTTTGGTTACAAGCTTCATTCCCATGGGAAAGATATCACATGGTCAGTCCATTCAACCAAGCCCGGACTACTTTACCAAGCATAGTGTACTGTACTACCAATATGTGTGTGAATCAACGTTGCCTTGTCAAGATGGCAGAGGATGTAAAGACATTTGTGTTCACATGGATGTTTTGTATAGTAAACTGTTGTTTAAAAAGCCACTTTACACCCTTTAAAAAAGTTATTCAGAAGTGGACCAAAATTTTTCAGGAACATATCCCCCCCCCCCCATAATACATGTAAAGATTGTGTTGCTTAATATCATTTTAGATGTACATCCCACTTTCCAGGAATGCCTCACGATGTATAACAGGAAACCCCTGTAATAAGATTTTGTGAATATTGGGAAAGAATTCGTAACATTGATACTGTAACTTTTATCTTTAAGAGTAAAGATTACAGCAGTGATCTTATTGGAAAAGAGTAAAGTTTTTGGTTTGCTTTAAGCTTATTGTGGTGTTCTTTATGGAATAGAACATCAGGATATTAATGGAAATTGCTTCTCATGACATCTTTACTAACTCGATTTTGCTTTAGTGTGAAGAAATGCATTAGAAATGACCACTTTAAAAATAATTATACTATTAGAAATAATAGTAATACTCTACAAGTACTAGTGCAGGTAAAATTAGAGTCTCCCCTCTAAGGAAATACTTATGTGTTAAATCCCTCTGGAGAAGGTATATAGTTTATATACAGTATACACTTAAATTGAAAAAAATCTTCAGTGAGAAAAATGTGTGCCATATCATAAAATATTGTTAATAATGCAATATGACTGCTTTAAAAAAAATTATATGAGATTATTATTATTATTAAAAGAAAGGATAAAGTAAGACAAAATGTATTTATTCTTTTCTAGATACTTGCTCAATTCTATCACTTAGTTGTTAATACATAATATTGAAGTTATATATAACATATTAAAAAATGTAAAAAGAAAGCAAATAAATATTGAGTTTTATTAATTAATATTTGTGGTAATTATTGGAGTTAGTATGTTTGTTTGTAATGAAGCACAAAGCTACACAATGGGCTATCTGTGCTACGCCCGACACGGGTATCAAAACCCGGATTCTAGCGTTTTAAATCCGCAGACATACCGCCGTGCCACTGGGGGGCTGGGAGTTAGTCCTCTACTTGTCTGTTTAGTTAAGAATGTGACCACTAGGTTCTAATATATAAGTTAAGAACAGAAATATATTTTAAAATAGAAAATAGTAGATCATTAGGAAATGGCAGGTCACTTGGTGTGTTATGTTTCTGTAATTGTACAAAGAATGGCATAAAATGTATGTGTGTGTGTGTGTTGGGGATACATACCATATTATAGGTTATACTTAACAAATATGATTACTACTGCTTGTATTGATGTGAATAGAAAAATATAGTTTGTAGTTTCGTAACTACTAAACAAAAAAACAAGAAATTTTCATCGTTCCAATGAGAAACCTTTATAGTACTCAATATTTTATTAGCAGGAGCAACAACATATTGTTACAACAGCGGAAGTCATGTGACACTAGTAACACGTCATTAACTTCTAGAAGGATCCTGTCTCTTCCTGAATGCTCTAGCCTTTACTAGATTTCGGTAGTCTTGTGTATATAAGACCGGTAAGAAGTGACGGCAACAATGGGTAATTGAACTGCGGACAGGGAGAGAGACGTATTGTTGAGCATGTGAGACGTTCCTTGTGAATTATAGTGTTTGTTATAGTGTGACTGTGAAAAT